CTACTCAGGAGGCTGAGGCAGGAGGATTATGAATTCAAAGCCAGCCTCACCAACTTAGTGAGGCCCTAAGCAAATCTGCGAGACCCTCTCTCTAAATAAAATATAAAAAAGGGTTGGGGATTTGGCTCAGTTGTTAAGTGCCCCATCCCCCCAAAAAAGATTATTTGAGAAGCAGATATCTGAAAAAAAAAATGTTCTTGTTTGTTTTTGCTTGAATTGACTCTGCCTTCCTCAGGGTCAGCCCACAAGGTACTGAAGGGTGCAGCCTGCACCACACTGCTGGTGAGTGGCGGCCCTTTTGGAGTGAAGCTGGATTCTCTTGGAGGAGGCTTAGTTGCTGCTGAGAGCGGGCTGACAATCAGGCAGCCTTCCTGGTGGCCCTGTTTCCTCCTTTCCTCCCACCCTGCAGTAGATGCAGACTAGCTTCACCAGAGCCTCACCTGAAGGGCATGGTGGAAACTCCAAAGATGCCTGTTGTGCCCACTGAGCCAGAACCTTACTGGCCAGGGCCCACATCCGCACCACTGTTACCAGGGCAGAGAACTGTGGGAAACTCTGAACCTCTGGTACTTCTGACATAAAGCCCAAGCTTTGCTGTATTTTCTGCCATTCCACACATGTGACAAACATACGAGAGTGACACCAACTTCAAGAACTTGAGTATTTCTTATTTACGTCCACAGGAGAAAGGAGGCTTCCCCTGTTGGTCGTAATGATGCTGAGATCTTCGGCTGACTTGGCATCTCTGGCTGCCCCTGTGGGTCAGTCGCCGGGCTGGTCACTCCCCACAAGTCCTGACTGAGCCCCAGCTTGGTGCCCAGCACTGCTGCAGACCTGGGATCTAGTCCTGGGTCCTAAAAAACAGGAAAACAAAAAATATATGTAAACAATAAAAAAAGGGATGGTGTGAATGAAGCACAGGAATTAAAATAGAGGGATGTGACAGGTGACCCGTGGGGAGAGATAGGTTTAGGACTCAGTGGCAGGGAGGAACCTGTGGAGCCCTGGGGCTGCAAGGCTGGAGCACAAGGCTGTCAGGGAGAGGCATGAGAAGTCGGGGAAGGTGAATTTTAGTCCAAAGTAGAATGGAAACCCTTCAGAGCAGCATGTGTGGGTCACACTTGGGCTTCTTTGGGACAAAGAATCTAGAAGAATCTGGGATGTGGTCTCGGCACAGGTGGAGGGAAGGGAGTTCTTGGCAGGTGGAAAGGGCCAGACCCAACAGTAGACCCAAAATCAGGGAGAGGCAGCAGGCCTTGAGGGAGTTTGAGGTTCTGGGGCTCTGAGAAGCTGAAGCCAGATAGAGGATGGGGTACCTTTGTTTACCAGAAAGTCTGCCATGGTACTTTGGCCAAGTGTTGAAATGAAGCAGCCCCTGCCGAGGGATGCCAAGCATGACTCCCTCAGCACCTGCTGCCCGTCCTCTGCTCCTTGTGTCCTGGGAGCCACAGCTTCCTTTCTCCACCTCAGCTGCACATTACAATCACCTTGAGCTTTCTGAAGTCCCATGCCTGGGCCACTCTGCAGACCAGTTAAGTCAGGCTTGTCACCAGGGCCGTACCCTGAGGCTGCAAGAACTCAGGGGAGCCAGTGCTGCCAATGAGCTCGCCCAAGCACCCCTTCCTGTGTCAGCTGCTGAGGCAGGATGGGTGGGGCCCACAGCCTGGCTTCATCCTGGCCACTGTGTTCTGCACTGAGAGGGTATGGGAGCCTGGGAGGCCACCAGGGCATGGGAACCCAGGAACCAATGGTTTCCCATCCTTCAGCCAAGGTTGCTCAGATCACTCTTCGGTGGTTTGGGGGGCAGGGGTGGTGGAGTAGTTGCTAATAGGCTTCTGGTTGGGCAATAGGTGTAATCAGTTGGTGATTTCCTGAGTGCTAAGAATAGAAGAATCCTAAAGTTCATTGTGGGTGTGGCCAAGGAGAGTCTCAGCTACAAGTTTGAGAAGCCAAAGGGACCAACTGAGGTCTGTGGGGTCCAGACTCAGAAAATCTTGCTGTGTTCCCCAGAGGGGAAAGGGGGTTTGTTAATACATCCTTCCCCAGGTTAAGCTGTGCCTTTGGCGGACCCACTTAATGATTAGGTGCCTATTATAATCATTACGAATAATGATGCAAAAAAATCAGCCTGTGCTCCTTGAAGAGTAATTTTGGTGTGTGAATGTTTTAATGAGTCACGAGTTGCAGAAAAATTCCATTCTCGCTCTTCATTCTGTTACTCTTTTGTAGGGAAAAGGTCAGCTCCATTAACTTCCCTGTGTTTTTATGAAAGTTTTAATTTAAGTGTCCCTAAAGAAGCCAGGTATTTTTTAAAGGGCATGATGTTGCTCCCTCCCTCCCTGTCAGTCCCACTCTGCAGCCAGTGTTGCTGAAGAGAAGAAGCCAAAGACCTGAGTGAGCCCCAGGCGGGGTGGAGCACTCCTGGGAGGAAGTGCCTGGCCGGTCACCCCACTGCAGTGGCCCAGGGAGCACAGTCTTCTGGTCCCCACCCACTTCCTCTGGCCAAGCTGACCTTGAGATGTCCTTGGTTCCGGCCCAACTTTGGGAGTCCCAAAGCTCCACTGAGGCAGATCAAACCCTGAGGGACCAGCCACACAGGGAAATTAGGGTTTAGTCCTAATGACTAGGCCATTAGGCTCAGTCACTTGTGACCTTACTCTAGTGCATGTGAAGGGAAGGCAGAAGTGTCACCTGAGCCACCTGGTCAGCATCAGGAGAGGTCTGGAGGACAGACCAGGCACCCTTCCTGTCTTTGCAGTGTAGATGACCCTGTGACCTCATGGACATCTTAGAAATGCCCTGAGCAGGGCAGGCACTGCAGGGGGAGCAGGTTCTGGGTGTGTTCCTGGGGCCTGGAGGAAGCCCTGAACTTGGATCGGAGAGAAGGGCTGTGGTCATTGGGAGGCACCCCCGTGGGCATTTTAATTTTAAGGACAAATGGAGACACAGATGGGTAGCTCCCAAAACGAGACAAAGGTCAGTTAGGGCTTGTCTTTCAGGGAAGAAGGCCCATCTGCCTGGCTTCTGTGAGACCTTGCTCCTTCCAAAGGTCCCCTCCCAGGATATTCACCAGATACTACTGTTCTGTCACCTAATGGCTCAGGCCTCCCACATAAGTAAGGGAGCAGTTTGCACCTGGAGAGGAGTCTCAGATGCACCCATTTTGATTTTCTTCTCCATGTCAAATGCCATGGAAATGTGGCTTCAAGATTCTGTGACAAGCTGGGGTGTATGTGATCCTCATTATTGTTCTGCTTTTTATCTATTTGGCCTTTAATTTCTTATGGTTACATGTCAATCAGGAAACAGAGTCTCATTCATTCTGTCTTCTTTCTCTCTGTCATAAAGATATTTTAAAGTTTTATAGGTATTAAATGATACCAGCTTGAATAGTCTGCAGTGAACCTTGACTGACACATTACAGTTTCCTTCATGGGGACATTTTCTCTCTGCAGCTGACAGGCACAGCATGCTTGTGTGAGGCCCTGCAGTGTCTGTGGTGGCCAGGGACAGATGCAGGAAATCACCTCTGGAGAGACACACTAGGTATAGCAGTAACTAAATCAAACTGTCTTCATCACCCCGTTGGGCCAGAAGTTACAGAAACATTGCAACTGTGTGCCACTGGGGAAGGCCTGCCCCCAGCCAGTGTTTACTCCTGTGTCTACCCCTGCTCCAGGGCACTGATGAGTGAAAACGTCCCCCACTGGTCACCTAGTCACCATGCTCTACCTGGCTCTACCCCCCATCAAAAGCACCCTAGTCTGCTTAGATGTGGATGAACAGGGCCAGGAGTGCCCCATCCCAAGGAGGAGTCAGTGCCAGAGCCTCTTTCTGAGCTGCCCTTGGAGGACAGACCAGGCACAGAAAGGATGGGAACTGTGGGGAGCAAGTGGGCTCTCCTGAGAGGGACAGACCTGAAGGATCCTTCCAGGGGAAATCAGCCTGACGCAGAAGACAGGCTTTTCTTTATTGTCTGTCAAAGAGTCTCCTCTCCCTGAAAGGGAGCATGGCATTGTCCCCAGTGTTGCCTATGAGATCCCAATAGCAGCAGCCTGGAACCTGGCACCAGCAGGTTTTGTGCTCAGATTTTTTCTGTTATCAAAAATCTGAGTGTGGGGGCTGGGGCTGGGGCTCAGCGGTAGAGCGCTCACCTAGCATGTGGGAGGTGCTGGGTTCGATCCTCAGTACCACATAAAAATAAATAAAATAAAGGTATTGTGTCTAGTTACAACTAAAAAAAATGTTTTTTAAAAATCTGAGTGTATTTTAAGTATATTTTAAGCCAAATTCCAAAATGCTTGCATATTTATGCAAGAAGTAGGGCAGAGCTGTGGCCCTGTTTTCTAGCACCTGCAGGACAGAGGTGGCTTGGACCTGCTGGGAGGAGGTGGGGTATGGGGAGCCACATGACCCTCATGGCTCCTTCCTCTGACTCCTCCCTGCCAGGCTCCCATCTTGCTGGCCAGGGGAGCACCTTCTTCCTGGCCTCACTCTTGGGGAGATGTCTCAAGGTGTTCCCAGTGAGGATGTAGCCAGACGGGGGTGCAAGGTGGTTCTGTGGCGGGAGGGACAAAGGACTGGTAGAGTGTCTGATGCCTTGGAGCCACTGCTCTGGACCAGGGCTTTCGTGTGCACGTTGTTGCTGTCACTGCGGAAACAGACTCAGCAAGGTCCAGCTGCCGAGGTCACTCAGCTTGTGGGGAAGGGAGAGGACTTGGCCCATGTCAGTGCCTGTCCCTCCACGTCATGCAGGGAAGAGAACATGACCTGAAAGTCCCTGCTGCCCCAGGGCTTGTGCAACACAGCCTTTGTCCCCTTTCTCTTCAGAGCCAGACCCAGGGACTTGCAGGAGGCCATGGGCAGCATCAGGGTCATCTCTTCCCCAGGGTTTGAAGTCACTGCCTGGGCCGCCATGGAGAGCAGGGGCATCTGCCACCACATAGAGGCCTCCACTTAGGCTTGTGTGGCTCATCCCGTGTCCTGTGTTCTCTCAACAGCAAATGAAGCTCGTGGCTGAGAACCTGAAGGAGGAACCAAGGGAAGATATAAAAGAGAAGGCAGCCTGAGTGCCCAGCATGCCCGGCTGCCCCATCCACCGAGGCCTGTGTTGGGAGACACCTGCCGGAGGGTACCAAGCAGCACTGTGCACATGAACCCAGACCCACTGCTTGGCCACGTGGAGTGGCTCCCATGTGGCAGGCCCTCACGCTGCAGTGCCCTGGCTCAGGGGTAGAAAAGGGCAGCCAGGACCCTTGGCCCTGCCCACCCTGCCCCTTTCTTGGCCCCACATGCCCGTCCAGCTGCCTCACTCTGCTGCAGAGCCACTGTTGCCCTTGAGCCTCGCCACAGCTGAGTCACCAGCCCTCCAGTGACCCTCACAGTGAGTGCCAGTCACTCATGACCCCACCAGGACCTGTGGCAGGGCACTGGGTTGAGGCATGTGCCTACCCAGCTGATCCTAGCTGTGCTGTCTGATCCTGCCGAGCATCAGTTGAGAGAGGGGCGTGTTTCCTACTCCCAGGCCTCCTTCCTGATTCTGTTTTGCAATATGTTAACAGACCCTTTGTCAAAAAAAAAAACCATAGAACTGAGCTATTAAAGGCAGCTTGCCCTCTGACTCCTACTTCCCTTCCCAGACAGGGACAGAAATGGCCTGACCTGCTCTATCCTGAAACTAGACCTGGGTCAGGTCCTTAAAGGTAGAGTGGTGAGAGGTGGGCAAGGTGGAGGCCGGGCCTGAGCTTGCAGCCAGGGCCAGGCCTGGGGAGCTGGTGCTGGCCCCCGAAGGAGCCCACTAAGGCCCAGGGACTGTTTTGTGTGTACAGTATGCATACAGTGCCAGGCCAGGGGCCAGCTGCCACTTCTGGCACCCTGGCATGGGCCTTGAACCTACAGCGGAGGAGACGTCCTTGTCCGGTGGTGCTGTCTTCTCCCTGGCTGGGTGCACAGGGCTGCTCGTTATTCACAGGCTCAGGAGTCCCACCGGAGTGTGGCCCTCCAGACACATAAGCCGTGCCTCCTGTGGCCGAGGACCACCCTGTGAGGGCAGGGCCTGGCTTCCGCCATCCTGCCTCATGAAGCAGCTCAGGCAACCCCTCCCCTCCACACTGCTGCCTCAGAGCCAAAACTGCAGACCCTCGGTGCTTGGAGACAGGAAGCCACAGATCCCCAACCCACCTGGAGAAGAGGGGAGAACAGGGAGGGGATGACGTGCTTCCTGGGTGGTGGGGTCCGGCTCCCTCGATTCCTTCCTCCCTTCAAGCTGATTCCAGCATCACTTGTTCTGGAAGCCCCAGCTGTGTCCCTGCCTGCTGCCCTGCTGGCTTGGCTGGGTCCTCCCAGACGGATATTTTCCAGCAGGGACACTAAGTGATCTTGCCCCTTCCCTTGCTGGGATGAGGCTCTTCAGAACCCAGTTTTTCAGTGCTAGTTTAGTGTTTGACAGAACTTTCTGGATCAGGCTCATGTTTTAAGAAGCCAGTGAATGGCTGTCATCAATATATGTCTGAGCCCTATGACCCCAAGATCCTCCTGTCCCAGCCTGGGTACCTGTAACCACTGGGAAAGGAGAGAGTTCAAGTGGGTCCTTGACCCCAGCCCCCGGTCTGCACCAGGGCCCAGCTTTGGGTACCAGTCACGTGGATGCAGCAGGTTGTACAGCAGTGGGTCCAGAGCACCAGATGATAACCTGACAGCTCATCTGGGAGCTACGGTCACAGCTGCAGCCTCCCCCCAGGCTGGGCCTCTGGTATCCTGCACTTAGGACTGTTCCCAGGAGCCTCCCTCCTCCCCTTGGCACCACCTACCTAAGCCTAAGCAGAACCAGGAGCCTGCACTGGCCAAGCCTGGGCACAAGGCCACGAGAGATGGTGGACATGGGAACCAGGCAGGCTGTGGAGAGGGAGGCTGGTGGGAAGGAGAGGCTGCATTGGAAGCTCTAGGCTTCCAGAGGACAGGAGTAATGGCCAGTTCTTGGTGTCTTTGCATCACCCACACTCAGTACAGGTGGCATTTAGCCCATGGCAGGTGCTCAGCAGTTCTGTGGCACAGTTGAAGAGTCGGGATGGGGCAACGTCACTGCTCCATGTGCTGCAGTCCTCAGCTGAATTGAGGACAATGTGCAGGTTGGTGCTGGGCCACCTCCTGTTCCCTTTGCTCAGCTTCTCCACCCAGAACCTCTCGCCTCACGTGCCTCCTGGCCTCACTTCATCCTGCCTCATCACAGCCCTCAAACCTCAGCCACACCGCTGACCTGCAAGCCATGGCGGGTGCCCCCAGACCACCCCAGCTGTGCCATCTTAATCCCCTGCAGTGAACCACACCCTCTGCTCCTCCTGACCCCTGAGGATGCCACCACAGATTAGCCAAGAGCTGAGACACCTGCTCCCCAAGTACAGATGACAACCCAGAACCCGAGACACCCGCCCAACCCTGATTAGGAAAAGGCACAGGAAGACGGCGGCAGCCCTGGATAGATCAGGCGGGCGCAGGGCTGGAAGAGGCTCCAGAACCCAAGTCCAAACCCCGCACTGAGGGTGCCTGAGGCCCAGAGTGGGAAGGATCTGCTCACACCGTGGGACATGAGAGGGACCCCAGCCCAGGGCCTTCCCCGCAGGTTTTGCAGAGGGCAGTGGGAGGGACACTGTGGAGCAGGTCATGGGAAAAGAGCCACCCAGGGAGAGCCCAGGCCCAAGGGAGGCACATAGGCTTGATTCTGGTTGCACAAGCCCATCCTGCTGTCCTGCTTCCCACCGCTGTGACACGGCTCCCTGCGAATGCAGCCCCCGTTAGGTGGAAACGCCTCTGGGACCCGCTGCCTCCCCAGCCACCCCGCTTTGCACACCCAGGGCTCCTGAGGGCCGGAGCTCCAGGGCCCCGCTGGCTCCTCTGCCCAGACACCACCCCACCTCACAGTGGCCATGCCTGGAGCTCCGCTCTCTGCCGGCAGGGAGAGCAGCCAAGGTTCCTCCCTGTCACCCTCACCCTGCACTCACCTCCCATGGGCCCTGAGATGCGGACTTGCCAAGTCTCACAGGTTGTTGGTGAAACTTGACCCCAGCAAGGTTGGCCTCAGGCCCAAGTCAGTCCCCAGCTCAGTCTTCTCACTCAGACGTTCATCTGTGCCACCCACACCCTGAGCACCTCCTGGGCGGGGCACTCACACCACGAAGGAGGCCTATCCTCCTCTCCAGGCCACTGAAGAACCATGCCATCGGGTGCCCCCAGGTCAGGCTGGGCCTCTGCCAACAGTCTCTATGTTTGTTGGGGATCTCTGCCGGGGGGCCTCTCTCCCCCTCCCCGTGGCCACACAGTCACACACACCCCCATTGGCAGCTCAGAAGCTCAGACAGAACAGAGCTTTCTGTTAATAGCTTCTAGGAGGAAACAAGGGGCAAGTGTCCAGGGATCCGCGACTCTGTGGCCAGGGGCTCATGGCACTCACGCTCCCTCCCCCGTCCTTGTCTTAGGAACTGGAGACACATAGGCTGAGTGACCCTCAGTCCTCATGACAGCGTGGCACACCCTCCACAACCCTAGCCACCCACCTGTCCTTCGCCACCTGCCAAGAGGATGCTTGCCACCCTCAATGGCCTCTCCGCCTGCAGCCTCCCTTCCCCAGCCCCTGAGGCCTCAGTCCCCAGCCTCTGCCTTCTCCCAGCAGGAAGCTGATAGCCAGGAGAAAGGTCAGAGGCCACAGGTCAAGGGTCATGGTGTCCCAGCTGGTCCCCACTTTTTCTGAACCCCTGGGTTCTACAAGAACAGTGCCTGATGCGGTGCCTCAGCCAACACCAGATGATGTGGCCCTGCCCTCCCTTCAGGTGTCTATGCCCTGCCCTACCCCCAAGCCTCCATGCCCTGCCCAAAAGGGACTTGAGGAGAAGGGCACCTATCAACCTCCAGGGACCTGCAGGACCTGGAGGAAGGGCTTGGCCCCTCACCAGGGCAACTGTGTCCTCAAGCTTCTGCCTCCAGCCTGGGAGCACCCTTCCTTCCCAATGAGAGGGTCATTCTGGTGACCAGGGACAGGTGTGGAGAGCTGATTATCCCAGCTCTCCACGAGTCAAAGGTGAGGTGCTTGCAAGCTACCCCAGGGGCCCAGCCAAGCCTGCATCAGGATGGGCCTGTTTAAGGACTGACAGAGGTCACCGTAGCCAGAGCAGGGAAGTGACCTATGATTTAGACTTGTGTTTCTGGCCATGATGGAATCAGAGGAACCTAACTGGCCCTCTGACCCTTAATAGAAAACCAAATAATATATTTTGAAGTCTTAGTTTTCAGACGCTGGGTGACAGATCACATAGGACTGTCGCCCTGAGAGCAGGGGAACAAATGTGCACTCTGGGGCCCCAAGCTCCTGCCTGAAGGCAGCTGCCAGAAGACAGGGGCGGGCAGCCCCCATAAAGCCAGGTGGATTTGCTGAGTGGAACAGACCAAGTTTGCTTCAGGAAAACTGATGTAGATAAAACCTGCAGGACACAGTAGCCACAGAGGAGGGCGCTGCAGAGTGAGTCAGCTCCAAAAATCTCATCTCTGGTTTCCTATTGGTCAGCATTCTACGTAAGAAAACTAGCTGAGGCTGAAGAACATACTACAGGAAAGCAGTTGGCTGAACCATACTCAGCACTTAGGTAAGGCTGGGCACAGTTTGTGTTCCAGCCATAGGTGGGAGGATCTTAGACCGTAGGAGAATCTTTAGAGGTTTTTTTAAAAAAAAATCTTTAGAGAGGTATTGCCTCAGTAGTGGGCCAAATTAGTCCTAAAGGCTACTCTGAACTGCTCCAACAGTTTAAAGACAAGACCCAAAAGGATCCAACTTATTTCAAGTAACGTGTACGAAACCTGAAACTCTTCCTGAATTCAACAAAATGCAACTTTCAACAACAATATAAAATTCACCATGTCCAGCACTAGAATAAAAAAAGGTCAACCTAGAATTTTATACCCAATAAAAATATCCTTCACAAGTAAGGTGAACATATGTTTTTTATTTTCATCTGAGCAAAAGCTGGCAGATCGTATTGCCGGCAGAACTGCACCATAAAAATGTTTAATAATGTTCTAAAGGCAGAAGAAAATTCCAAGATGTGGACCTACACAGAAATGAAGCATGCTAGAAATGATAATAAGTGAAATGCTTCCCCCATGTTGAAGCTCTTGAAAATTATTAAAATAAAAATATGTATACATATGTAAAGATAAAATGATAGTACAAGGAACAACAGAAGGAAATGGAAGCATCTACAGTTGTAGGGTTTTTACATTCTACACAAAGATTATTTTAAGACATACTGTGATACATTAAGATAGATATTGTCTCCAGGCATGGTGGAACATGTCTGTAATCCCAGTGGCTTGGGAGGCTGAGGCAGGACGATCGTGAATTCAAAGCCAGCATTGGCAAAAAGCGAGGCACTAAACAACTCAGTGAGACCCTGTCTCTAAATAAAATACAAAATAGGGCTGGGGAATGTGGCTCAGTGGTCAAGTGCCTCTGAGATCAATCTTTGGTACCTGCCCCAAATATATATATATATATATATATATATATATATATATATATGTATGTATCTATATATCTATCTATAATATATATATATATATATATATATACACACA